AACCCCCCCCCCCCCCCCCGTGTTTTTTGGCCAGAGGAATCCAGAATGGGGATCAACATTGTTACTGTAAACTCAAGACCTCTCCTTCATCCTGTCTTTTCCAGCTCTTAGTTTTCTGCTGTCATTATGACACTCTGTTGCCTTTAGAGTAGCGTGGTCTATTTGGATCCAGAAAGCCTACTCCTCTGCTGTGGCCAATGATCACTGATAGACTGCATCGGAGGAGAGAAACTAACATGGGAAATGTGCAAACAAAAGGGCTGCGAGACACTGGCTTTCTTTCACCTGGTAATTTACCTGCACATTCTGGGTTGTCTTCATTAAAGTTGATTGCGAAGTCATGAGAGACCTAGACACCAATTAAAATTATAAAAAGGAAGGAAGGAGAATTACAACTTTAATCCAGGAAGGAGGCACTGGGAGGAAGAGTCTGCAAACAAATGCTCATTCCATTCATTAGGTGTCAAGCCGCAGGAACCATTTTAAGGCTTCACAGAGTCAGTCTGAGATGGAGGGTGAATTCTAAGCTCCCCGTGGAGCTGAGGTGACAGGAAAGTTTTCTAGAATCAGATAAATGCTGGCAGGAGGGGAGAATAATGTATATAAAAAATGCCAAGATAAGAGTTCAGAAAAAAAAAAAATGTAATCCCAGAAACAACTGGCCATAGACTGGAGGCTTAGATTGGGCTGAGCTCTGCTTGGACCCAGTGATTTAAAAAAAAGGTAACTTGTCACCCCGTTTGCTCAAAGTGGTGATGGTGATAATAGCTCCTGCTAAGCTGTTGACATTTAAAACTCATTCTAACATACTATGCAGAGCTATAGGACAGCAGGATTTGCCCACATATGCAGGTAAAAGAGACTCTACTTTTGGAAAAGTGATAAAATCATGATATCTTGTAATATTCCAACACAGATTCCTCTACCTGCCAGGACCTATCACAAGGTGACATGTTTATTTCTTTCTTTCTAAAATCTGGTAAAACAGGAGGGCTGTCCTGGCACCTGGACATTATGGGATCATTTGGGATTTTACAGAGACTCCCATTTCAAATGTTATTTCCAAGCCCTGGCTTTCTTGGGGGCTAGAAAATGGCCATTAGTTATTGTGTTAAAAGACCCCTCTTCTCTTTGTGGGAGGTCAGAGCCGATGCTGTTGGTGCCTGGCCCACATTCCCCTGCCCTTGGCTCTCCCAGGCAAGTCAGCTGACTTCCATCCATTTTACTGGCTTTATTTACCTTAAGTTTTCTCGGGTCTCCAGAGCCTGCTTTTTAAAAATTTAATATATTTTTATTGATTTCAGAGAGGAAGGGAGAGGAAGAGGGAGCTAGGAACATCCATGATGAGAGAGAATCACTGATTGGCTGCCTCCTGCACACCCCCCACTGGAGATCAAGCCTGAAACCCAGGCATGTGCTCTGACGGGGAATTGAACCGCGACCTCCTGGTTCATAGGTAGACAGACACTCAACCACTGAGCCACACCAGCTGGGCTCCAGAGCCTGCTTTTGGCAGACGAAAGGTGTTGGGGAATTAATGTCGCTCACGAGCAGCCCTTCCTTAGTGGCTGACAGGACATGGTGTATCAGTACCCAGCCCACTTATCCTTGGGGTCTGTGTGTGCTCCACAGTGTCTTTCAGGGTTCCCAGCAAGATTCAGCTCCACTGCCCACAGAGCTAACTGACTTGTTAGGATTCCCTATGTCCACTTCCTCTCACTTCCTCATTCTCTATTGAGGTGGTTTCCTCCACCTCTCAAATAATTGCATCCAAATCCTCCTGTCTCAAGGTCTATTCTAGGGAGAGTATAGGCAAGCTCTGAGGTTTTTCCCAAAGAAGTAAATCTCGGTGACCTTATAAACTCGCTGGGGGCAACCAGCTGCTGAGGCCATCGGTGCCTGTCTGTGGCAGAGGGAAAATTAGGCCTGGAGCAGAGTGAGGAGATGTGAGGGAAGCCTGTTAGGACAGCAGGAAGAATAAGTTGGCTGAAGGCATGGTGAGCATAAGGACTTCAAGAAACATCAAAAAGGATAAGTTACACCAGGAGGGGACCAGGCAGATGTCATGGATGAGAAAAGGAAGGCCTGGAACAAGGTGTTCTCAGCCCTACTGGGCCACGTGAGACCAGAAGACTACCAGGTGGGGATGAGGTGGGGGATGCTCAAGCATCTCTTGGTAGTAGGACTGGTGGTTGTTGACGTGCATTCCAGTCTCAAGGTGCAACAGTTCAGCACCCACCTGACTACATTCTGTAGCTGATATCCGACCTGAAGGGGACTGTAGCTCCTCAGCTCTGCCTAATTCTGGTTGTATAATCTCTCTCTCTCTTTTTTAAAATTTAAATTCTTTATTGTTTAAAGTATTACATAAGTCTCCTTCTCCCCCGCCCCCCATTGTGGTTGTATAATCTCTTAATCTTAGTCTTTCCAGGCCTTCTAATGTTTCCAAAAAAACCAGAAATCTGACATTTTATATGAAATTGCCTAAATCTTAAAAAACATTTGTGTGTCAAAAACTTGTATGCATATATACATACTAGAGGCCCGGTGCACGAATTCGTGCACGGGTGGGGCCCCTAGGCTTGGCTGGCGATTGGCCAATCAGGGCCGGGCCAATTGGGGCCTGCTGGCAGGGGGAAGGGATGGGGAGCAGGAGGTTGGCCAAGGCCCCGAGGAGAGAGCTGGCCCTTGGACCCCTGGGAAAGGGACTGCATTCACCGCCATCCACTTCCAGTTCCCCATCCCAGCCTGGGGCCTAAAGGCCCTGGTGGGGTTAGAAGAGAAGGCGATGGTCACCAGGCTGGGCACGGAAGGAACGGACACCGGATGCCGACACCGCCAGCCACGGGAGGTTGGCTGTGGGAGTGCACTGACCACCAGGGGGCAGCTCCTGCATTGAGTGTCTGCCCCCTGGTGGTCAGTGCACATTATAGTGATTGGTCAACTGGTCGTTCTGGTCGTTCAGTTATAAAGGGCGCTTAGGCATATATATATATATATATATATATACACACACACACATACATACATACATAACCCATGGACATGAAAAATAGGGTGGTAAAGGCCTGGGGCAGGGGGTAGGGGGCAGGGGTGGGCTGGAAGGACTTAATAGAGGAAAAACGGGGACATATGTAATACTTTCAACAATAAAGATTTAAAAATTAAAAAAAATTTGTGTGTCAACTATCATACATTTGTGGCTCAAATAATGTCTACAGGCCACCAGTCGACAACTCCTGTTCTGTATTCTTCCTCCCCATGTGCTCTATTTCCAACAAATGCTTCTAGAATTCTTTAGGCATGCCCAGCAGGGAGGCCAGGGGGGAATACAAGGCAGACAAGGAGGACAGGTCAGGGGACACACCATTCCATCTACTGTTCTCTCAGCAGTCACAGGGAGAGGGATTCTCTCTTTCAAAAAGGGCACATCAACTTCTCTTTTACTGGCTGTATCTGAGTTGCATGGCAGGAGTCAGATGGCAACATTTACTCCCATACCAGAGCTGTCTGCACTTAACTTGTACCTCAGAGGCCTGGATGAGGCTAGGGTAGGAACCCTGCTGCCCCTCCAAGGCCCTCCCACCTGGGGAGTGAGTTCTCTGTGCAATGTCCCACAGGAGCATCTGGTATACCACAGTAGGGTGCACATCTCTCTTTGCACAATCTTTGCCTTCTCTGAGTCATGGAAATAAGTATTAAAACCAAATCAGTTTGATGATTGTGGGGGTTGGGGTTGGGGGTGGAAGAGGGTATAGGGGGGATAAATGGTGATGGGAAAAAAATAAAATAAAGAGGAAAACAAAAGAAAACATATCCTAAAAACAACAACAAAACCAAATAGGATTCCAATGCCCTCATAGGAAGCTTTTAGTTTCTCAATTTTCTAAGCCAGAGTGGTTCTATCTTAGGACTTTTCTGTGTCTCTCACACAAGACTGGTGCTCAGAGAGCTGGGATGAGGGGGTCTGTGGACTTCATTGTCATGGACTGCCTCAGTTGGTATTATCAATAGAATCTTTCTCTAGAGTAGCGGTTCTCAACATGTGGGTCGCGACCCCTTTGGGGGTCGAACGACCCTTTCACAGGGGTCGCCTAAGACCATCGGAAAACACATATATAATTACATATTGTTTTTGTGATTAATCACTATGCTTTAATTATGTTCAATTTGTAACAATGAAATTGGGGGTCACTACAACATGAGGAACTATATTAAAGGGTCGCGGCATTAGGAAGGTTGAGAACCACTGCTCTAGAGGATAGCTGAATAGATATGTTTTGAGCCACCGAAGATCAACATCCTGAGTGTTTTCTCCATATCTGTAGGAAGCTAAGCAATAAATACTTTTATTTGGACCTCTGAGAAGAACAATCAGAATACCAGGAGATTGGGTTTTATCAAAAGACAGGGTCTGAGGACCTAATCTCATGTGTTCTGAAGATTTCTGAGTCTTTGGGCCCTAGTTACATAATTATATCGAGGACCAAAGGACAGAGACTCCTGGGAAGGAAACTCAAATTTTCCTTTGGCGACAGCAAAGCATCTCTACTCACTCACCGTGTACTCTGGGGGTATCCTGGCACCAAATCCAAAGGCTGGGAACATTTTGTCACTGAAATAAAGAAAAGAAGTTGCTTTATTTATCATCTAATGAGGAAGAAAAACATGAACCTGCATCACCTCATCCGGGATGTGGCTATGCCAGGTGCTGACTCATGCTTCTTGATTATCTGTGGTGATAGGCAATAGCTTGGATAATTAAAATCAAGGAATCATCCTCAGAGTTCATTCCAGTCATTAGTCTGCAACTTCTTCCTTACTTCTGGCTAGATTTGATACCAAGGAGTGAAATGGCACCAGGATTTCCGCCCCTCCCCTCGCCCAGTATTCTGTCTCCTTTGAAAAGATCATGAACTAGGTGACTCCTATGGTTGACTGCTAGATATATGCTATCTTTTTAAATCGTTTTAGGGAGAGATTATTATTCCAGTGGGGAAATGCCTTGGGAAGTGAAATCCAAGATCATGCTGCGAGTTAGAGCCAGGGTTCAAATTCAGACAAGCCTGAATCCACAGGGCTATTAAAAAGCAGTGGAAAGCTTGACAGAACTTGGTTTCATCTACAGAACTCTTTGTATCCACTTCTTTATTGCATACAAGCAGCAATAAATTGTTTACATGTCTTTTCTTGTCTCCTGAATTCAAAGGAATGCTGTTTTTTTTGTATTCATATCTATATTTCTACTGCCTCCCTCCCTCAAATTGCCCCTTGCCCCTACCTTCAGGATAATGCTTGTCATAGATTGTGTGCTCAATAAATATTTAATGATGAGATAGTGCATGAATTGAATCATTAAGATGTGGCCATATAAAGAAGAAAAAATTCTTGCTAAAACCTATGAGAGTCACATATATGTCTTTTGGCTTGGTTTTTCTTATACAACTTGAAATTTCTCCTAATTTATTCATTCGTGTATGTGATATCTTAACTCTTAACTATGCTAGGCAATGCATGTACTTATTTAATTTTCAAGCAACCCTTGAAGTTTCACCTACTTAACATTCCCATTTTACAGATGAATAAACTGAGTCTCAGAAAGACTAAGAAAGTCTCAGAAACCCTAAGGTGCTTCCCAGGGAGGATTGTGTGATTCCAAAGACCCATACTTTTTCTACTATACCATTATAATGTAATGGTTATATACAGCATTAAATATGATTTCCTTCTGTCACTTCTAGCAACAAGCCCATCTTTCCCCACCAGACAACAAATAAGACTATCCTTAAGCAAATTTTGTGCTGTCAGAGGATTGTTGCAATAGGGGCTCTGGCTTATTGCTATTGTCAGAGGGCGTGTCCTTCCCATGCCATTTACCTCTTACTTTCTCTCCCATTAAAAAACAATTCCTTCTTGTCTTAGTTCCTTGTAGTTGAAAAGAAAAGAAAATCCAGGGTTGTTCTCAGTGTCCCTGAGCATCTCTATAAGCAAAAGGGACCCTCCTAGCCCCTGAGGCTGAGAAGTCAGATTCTCACCCATCCCCTATCTGTCTGATTTAAAGATAATTAGTAGCCAATAATGGCTTTGATAAAACTTTACCAAAACACAGCCAGTTTGATCAAATTTCGGGATGCAAGGAAGCCAGAATTCTTTGAAATCAAAGTCTAAATTCTCTGGAAAATGACCAGCTCCTCTTTTTCCTCACTGTTGTGTAAATATGAGCTTTGTGGGACATTGCATCTAGTGTGTATTAGAAAAGGTATTAATGCGGATAAATGAAAATTCACAACAGCTTATAAAGGATTAGCCACAGCTTTGAGAGAGAGAGAGAAAAAAGTTCTGATCCTTGGAAATACTTGGCTTCAGCAATTCGTCCTTACCCACAACAAGGGCGAGGAGGTATGGGAAGGAATATGTCTTGGAATTTCAGAGGTATTTTCTAGGTAAGTCTGGAAGAAAGCTTTCCTGGAGGGAGGATGGATCTTGGTTCTTCAAACTCACAGAAGGTTCAGAGTCAAAACAGAGACACCAAGGGGGCACCACACCCTTAATTTTCTTCTCTAATGAGTTTAGGAGGGGTGTGACCCAATATTCTATCCATTTCTTTTCCTTTTGTTTTTGCATTGGTTTGTAGAGAGAGTAGAAGGGAGGGGGAGAGATAGAGAGAGAGAGAAACAGCGATGTGAGATATGAGAGAGACACATTGATTGGACAGGGCTGGGGCTTAAGACTACAACCAAGGTACATATCCTTGACTGGAATTGAACCTGCAACCCTTCAGCCCATGGGCTGACACTCTATCCACTGAGCCAAACTGGCCAGGGCTTCCATCCATTTCTAATCACCAAACCAGTGTTCTAGCCTTAATGACATTCCTTTATACCTTCTAAGCCACCCAGGGGAATGTGAAGTTTGCTGAGCACGATGTACTGTTGTTATGTAACTGAGTTTGAAGAGTAAGGAGGTAGAAAAAAATGCCTCGCCTACAAGAGAAATAATTAATGAGCCAGGAGGACAATTCTCTGAAGTTAGCCATCACAAAGATTAGCTAGAGTCTAGCTAATAAACACACTAAAGGAAAAATTTCAAGCCTACGCACAATGGATCCGAACATTGCTCTTCCAGATTAAAAGTAAAAACGAGGCATAGAGGAGTCTTATGTAAGAGGCAAGGGAAGGCAAGTTGCGCACATAAGTGAGCATCAGCAGGCCAGCTCGTCAAAGAACTCCAGCCCTGGCTGGTGCGGCTCAGTTGGTTAGACGTCACCCTGTGCATCAGGGGGTTGACGGTTTGATTTCAGGTTGATGTTTCTCTCTCTCTAAAAATCAATTTTTAAAATCTTAAAGAAAAAGAACTCGAGATTGGATCCACTCAGTATTGAGTGAAGGGGGCCATTTAGCAACTATTGGGAAAATGATTGGTGAAACCTGACAATATGGAAAATTCAGGGGCATATCACCACATTGGTAAAGGCAATATTTCTTACTATTGGGATAAAATAGTAAAAAATGCACTATAAGAGCCTGTGGTCTGCAATGCTAGTGAGCCTGCTGTCCTGAACTTCCTAGAGCAGCGGTTCTCAACCTGTGGGTCGCGACCCCTTTGGGGGTCGAACGACCCTTTCACAGGGGTCGCCTAAGACCATCGGAAAACACATATATAATTACATATTGTTTTTGTGACTAATCACTATGCTTTAATTATGTTCAATTTGTAGCAATGAAATTGGGGGTCACCACAACATGAGGAACTGTATTAAAGGGTCCGCGGCATTAGGAAGGTTGAGAACCACTGTCCTAGGGAATGGCCATGGTCTCCAGATGGAAGATTCATTGTCAACCACCATTTTCACGCTCCCTGTTAGGAAGGCTTTGAGATAAAGGGAGAGGTTAATAAAAACAAGGAGAAATTAGTGCACGAGAAAATGGAGATGAACTCCGAGCAAAATGGCATTTCAGAACACCTAGACATTTAATAAAACAGTGGTTTTAAAACTGGGGTACATGGAAAGGCGGAAATGCAAAGTCCTACTGTGGATATGAGAGTATTTTTTTTTTTCTTTTAAGGAAATCAGTGTTCAGTTTCTCAACTTCCCTATGTATTCTTTGCTGAAATTATCTTCTGGGAAAACCTGTGATGCAAAGACCTATTCTCCACTCCCACCTTCCCTTTCACAATTACCCTTCTCCTTCACCCATTCTGAATTTTAACCACCACAGTGCCTTGTTCCAGGCACTATAGTGATTAAGATTCAGAATGTAAAAACTCTACAGCAGCGGTTCTCAACCTGTGGGTCGCGACCCCTGAAAATACATCCTGCATATCAGATATTTACATTACGATTCATAACAGTAGCAAAATTACAGTTATGAAGTAGCAACGAAAATAATTTTATGGTTGGGGGTCACTACAACATGAGGAACTGTATTAACGCGGAATTAGGAAGGTTGAGAACCACTGCTCTACAGGAACAATTCTAAATGAAAATGATTCACTAGGAAACAAATCCTTTTGCAAGTCAGGTAGTTGCCAATTTTTGCTTTAAAAAATTGTAAGAGGTGCTGATGTCAGATGGTAGGTGGTTAAAAATATATTTTGCTAACAGACCATTATATGATTTTTGATATATAACTTAGAATTGAATAGTACTTCTAGTAAAACTCTTTCCATTATCACATACTTATTTGTAAGAACAAGTTTCCTTAGCATTCACATTGATAAAACAAAATTTGGATTAAAATTGACACTAGATTTTCCCATTCTAGTAATAGTTGGTATTCATCTATAGATTAGTAAACTAATGAAAAAACCCTAATCTGTTTCATTAAGAGTTTTTATAGGCAATACTTAGATATTAAAATTTGTAACATATTTATGTTCTTTTGATGAATTGTGCATTAATAATGATTATAGTAAACACTCAACTAGAAGATGTTTTTAAATATTTTGAATATTTTCATCACAGGACATTTAAAAATTTATATTCATATATTTATGATAGAAATGTATGATATAGTGGTCAATAAAATAATTTCAAAACAAAATTTGGGGAACATTATGATGAAATCCTGTGGGGGAAGGAATGGAAATATGAGTTCACGAGAAAGAAAGAACAAGATTCTCAACTCAAAATGGAAAGCTTGTTCATGCATTTTAAAATGGATGATGGTGGGTATCAAATAGCTATGGCATTAGAGTCTCCTGGACGCATTCACAAAGTTATATAAGAATTTTGTTTTAAATGTCCATATTTATAATACACTAGAATTTTCATTCTTTGTCACTATTAAACTCATGATGGAAAACATTAGATTTCAATGTAAAAATGTGTGAAGGTTATATATTTTTATAAAATTCTTTTTTAGGGGTGAGTGTGTGTGCACACACAAGCCAATTTTTTAAAGGTCATTGGTCCGAAATTACCTTTATATTTGACACACTAGTTCTTTTCCCTGTTGTGTATGGTTTATTTTTAAAAAATAAATTAAGAGTATTAAAGATAGCCTCTATTATTTATTAAATATTTACAACAGGCAGAACCTGTGCTAGCTACTTAATTTTATTCTTTTTGCTAAATAAATTTATTTTTTTAAATCTTATTTTCCAATTAGAGTTGACATTTGATATTATTTTATACTAGTTTCAGGTGTACAGCATAGTGGTTAGACAATTGTATAACGTACAATCCCCATAATTCAAGTACTCACCTAGTACCATATATAGTTATTTCAATATCATTGACTATATTTCCTATGCAGAACTTCACATCTCTGTGCTAGCTAATGACTTAATACCTAATCCTTACAACTGCTCTGCAAGGGAAGTTAGATAAATCTTCAATTTGCAATCAAGGAAACCAAGGCCTGGGGAATGCCAACCTACGGAGAATAGAGGCAGCAGAGCTGGGGTCTGAGCCCAGGTCCACCTGTCACCAGGACCCAATGCTCTTTCTATCACTTCTGTTGACTACCCTTCCCAGGAAGCGTGGTCTGGTCTAATGACTCAGAATATCAAGAGTAAGTTCATCCATCTTCTAAAAGCAACAAAGGACAGAATTAGCAGAATTCACCGCCATCCCCAGGAGGCCAGCCTTGACCACCTTCCCACAGAAGAAAGAGCTAACCCTACCCTCCTCGTGCAGTCCCCATTCTAACAAGGGACAAAGCTGCTCTGGCCACGCTGGGCTAGGATTTATTGACATGCCTTTCTCTCCCATGAGATTGTGAACCACTTGGGGGAAAACTGTTCTTTCATTCATTTCTGTCTTTATGGCCCCACATGAGGTGCCTGCACCTAGAAGGTCCTGCACAGGCTCCTAGCCATTCCAGTGGACCCATCTCTCCTGACCGAACTCTGGATACCTGTTAGAATGAAAAGTCCTGATTCCCCAGGATGCACACCAGCCTAACTAAATCAGAGTCTCTAGGGTGGAGCCAAGGCACCAGCATATTTTAAAACTTCCCGAGTGGTCCCAGCGTGCGGCCACGGTTGAGAAGCACTGACTGGAGTTGGTAGGATGGAAAAGGTATCATTATGGTCTTAATCTGCCTTCTGATTTTTACCCCTGTCCTCCACACTCAAAAACCGCTCAGATTGGCTTTTAGTTCTAACCTTGCCTCCTCGTACTGCACCCAGCACATCGTGGAAGAAGCCTGCTGCCTCGATTTCTGATGTCCTTGTCTCATTCTGGGGCAGCCACATCTATAACATGGCAGTCTGTACTTCCAAGCAATGCATTCAGTGTCTATCCTCTCTTGATGGCAGATAGACCAGCCTTCTTAATAGAGGATATTGCAGGGGTCAAAGACACATCTTAATGGGTCCAGGGGCGGATATCATCTTGGCCTTGAGCAGTTGGAGGAGACCAGGTTGTCGACAGGAACTGGGCAAGTGCTACAACCAGCTGGGAATATATGAGCTGTGCATGTGGGCATGCATGTGCGTGTGCGCGTGCACATGCGCACATGTGTGAATGTGTACATGTGCATATGTGTACACGTGCGTGTGTGTGTCTGTGTACATCTGCGTGCATGTGCATGCATGTGCATGTGTGCCTGTTGGGAATATATGAGCTGTGCATGTGGGCATGCATGTGCATGTGCACGTGCACATGTGTGAATGTGTGCGTGTGCATATGTGTACACGTGTGTGTGCCTGTGTACATCTACGTGCATGCACATGTGTGTGCCTGTGTGCATGTGTGTGCTTGTGTTTGTGGAGTCACCTAGGAGAGAATGAGTGGTGGTGTCTTCCAGGGGCGCAGACACAGAATAGGCTGGCAGGATTGCCTTCTGGGTTCGAGGACCAGACATCTGGAAGGAGCTGTCCCTCAAGGCCACCCCGAGAAGAGCTTTTGCAATTCTCTGGAGCTGTTCTACTTCACGGATCACCTAGTAAGGACCTGTTAGCAATGACTGTACAAGACAGAAAGAAACCCCTTGGCTGTCAGAGGCTGGGAGGAATTTCTAAGGCTCCTGGGGATTGAAAACCTCTGTGTCGCGGCAGGAGGGGGAACAGTGCCTTCTGTCAGTTTTTGTGCAAGTGTTTCTTTTTGAGCATCAACCCCACTGACTTTGATGTGAGAAAAAAATAATTCCAAAGCCCGGACTTGAAATTCCCTGACTCTGCCTGTCTACTGCCTATCCGCCCACACAAAGGAGAAACTGCGGGCACTTGTCAGTTTTCAAGGGAGCAGCTTGCTTTACACAGTCTGCAGGAGTCTTTGCAAAGAGTGCCCAGGCTTTTCAATCCTCCTTCTCTTCCTTAGGTGTTTGTTCATTTTTATGCCGAGCTGAAACATACATATGCAGATATATGTGATCCACTGAACCGATTTCCTTGGCCAGTTGGGGCCCATAACTTTAGTATTATCCTATTAAGGTGTTAAAAAGAATCACGATTTTTCACATAAGCCCTAAGGTGTCAGATCTTATTTTTGTTCTGAATCTGTTATTTGGAAGGAATGCAAAATGCTCCCCAGACTCTGTCTGGCTCACATTATAAAGGGATAACAGCTCTAAAAGCTGTGTGGGTCACTCCGATTAGAGGCTCCACATCTGGCCTGCAAGGCGATCAAGGAAACAGAGAGGTTTAGCATCTTGTTCTAGATCACCCAGCAAGACTGCCAGGGGCCACAGCGAGGGTGCTGGCCGGCAGCATCTGATTTTCAGACAACCTACCAGCCTTCTCTTTGGAATTCATTTTCACACAACCTTCTCTCCTGCCGAATCAGAGTCAGCTCTATTATTAAGCACATGTTGTTTGACACATGTACCAAGTGCATTTACCTACTTTATCTCTTTTGTAAGCACTTCAAGAATTTAAAAGTTATTAAGATTCCTGAAGATATTTCCTCCCTTTCTCCTTATCTTTTATGTACATATTATTATCCTAGATTATTTGTGTGTGTGTTGGGAGAAAGTGACAGAGAGAGACAGAAAGAAGGGTGAGAATTACAGTTTTGGAGTGCTGAGTGTGTTTAGGAAGTTTCTGACAGTGGAGATGCAATTTGTCAGTCTTTTCTTTCTTTCTTTCTTTTTGGTAGAAATCTCCATATGCTATGAACCTCTTTAGGGATCCTCCCTGTATTTGGGCCTAAGGAAATCAGAGCTGAAAATCAAGTTATCTTCACACTCACCAGCTCAAGATTAAATATAAAAAGTATCACTTCAATAAGGTCATGTAAATGCTGTTGCTCTCTGTTCTAAATGTTTAGGAGGGCAAGTGTCAGCAAGAGCCCATGAATTTAAAGCTCTTTTTATTTACTTTTTAAAAATTGATTTCAGAGACAGGAAAGGAGAGAGAGACAGAGAGATAGAAACATCGATGATGAGAGGGAATCATGCCCCCTACTGAGGATCGAGCCTCCAACCTGGGCATGTGTCCTGACTGGGAATCGAGTGCCATTGAACAACACTGGCTGGGCTGTTTAAAGCTCTTTGATTTTATTGGACTGTCCATTCATTCCCAAACTCCCCTCACGCCCATCTGAGTTACTGGCAAGGATCATGCCGAATCCAGAGACTCGCCTGTAGGAAGGACACTGGTGGGACCTGTCCCATTACCTGTCCTATTGGTTTTTGGCTTGTGTCATTTTCTATGGTGCCTGCGCTCATAGTTTTTTTAAAACATGGTTATCATTAATTATGAGACTAGACAGAACAGAAATCATGCTGCCCCCTAAATTTTCTCTGAAATTGGAGGATAGAATTGCTTTCATTATTTTCCTGGCTTAAAAGGTCATTTAGTTGATGCTCATTATCAACTAGGTTTGTTTTATAATCACAACAGGGAGTCACCTAGGATTTACCCATATTTATATTTACATTGGTTCTACTTCAGAAAGCTTTCTGAACAAACACATGGACAACTTAATCTCAACCTGAAAATACTGGAAATGCAGAATAAATGCAATTTAATGTGATTTATGTAAATAACTTCTTACAGGGAATTATCTTAGTGGGAAAGGTCAGTATTTACCATCAAGTAAAAATAAATATAATATTCATCTGATCTCAAAATAATGTTTCCTACAACACACACACACACACACACACACACACACACACACACACCCTTGATCAGCACATATAGGTGTACGTGGGCAGACACATACCCTTTACTAATATCTTTAGAGGCTAGTGAAATACAGTGATTGTGAGCTTAAGCTATGGGATGAGATAAATCTGGGTTCAAGTCCTGCCTCTGGCTATGGGACAGTTCACAGGCTACTCAATCTCCTTGAACAATTTTCCTTTTCTGTTAAGTAATACCTACCACATAGGGGCTAATATGAGGACTAGATGCAATAATGTCCAATAAACAGCTGCTTTTCAAGCTCAAAAGTGCACTCAAATCATCTGGCTATCTTGCTAAAATGCAGATCCTAATTCAGTAGACCTGAAATGGGGTTTGAGCTTCTAAGCTCCAAGGTGATGCTGCTAGTTCATGGACCAAACTCTGAGGAGCAAGGCACACATTAAAACGTTGGGAAACCAACATTGCTATCCAGTGGTTTTGCAAACCAATGAAAGAAATCTGAGAAAAATAATATATTTTTTTTTCAATAACGATGGTGAACATGGCACGGACTTACTTTCTCGAAGTTTGGGGCAAGGTTTTATTCTGTCCCTGCATGAGCCTCTGGGTGATGAGTTGCTAGATTTAATTTTCATTCTTCTGCTGAGGATCAGCCAGGGGTCCTCAGAACCCACAGAGAGATGACGAGGCCTGAGCCGACCCAAAGTCTCGTACCTGTCATAGTCTTGGCAAATCTCCCCGACAGCCACCAAGGCCTTCAGGTACTCGTTGGGCTGGTAAGGATGGATGTAGTGCAGGGAACAGCTGTTCCGGGGGTCCCCGTTGGAGGCTGTGAAGTCTATAGCGACCTGGAGGAGAAAACAGGAGAATGGGTAGATTTAAAGTGAATGCACATCAGAGGAATTGTGATCAGCTACAGAGGGACATGGCCTGTGATGGGAAAAAAGTAGCATGTTACATACCCTGTCAAGGAGAGCTAGAGAAAAAAATTAATTAGTTTAAAAATTAGCCATTTCTGTAGTCTTCAGTCCCCCGTCCCCCTGTCCCCCCCACCCGCAATGCTCTCTTATCTCCCTTTCCAAAACCGAACTTGAGATTGGCATATAGGTCAGAAAGACCAGTTGCGGCTGATCCCTGTCACCAGGCAGCAAGGGCAGAATATCCTAATTCCCTAAGGAAGGACTTCTATGCTCTTTGGCAGGGCCATGCCATCTCTGAGCCATAATGGAAATCCCTTAGAGCCAAATTCTGTGTTAAAGATGCGGTTTATCTAAGGAAGCCATCGTCATATTTTCATGAATGGCCAACTGCCGAGCGATGTGCTGAAGTGGTTATAATACATTTTCTACAAGACGCAACTCTGTGTAAGGCATCCAGCTTTAATTCCCATTCACGGGAGAACTACTGCCTACAACAGAGAAGATGCCTGAATGTCATGGCACTGTGAGTGGGAAATGGAGAAGGGAAGTCTGTCTTGCCACCAAGTAGTCAATACCCTTGGACTTCTTAAATGTTTTCTGACCGCCAACATCAGTATCATTTAAATAAAAATGGACTCACCCAATACTTTATAGCAAGAATAAAAATGCTTAAGCCTTGAGGGTGCTGAACTGCGAAAGAACATTCCTTTTGATTTCTAACATCATCACTGTTTAATAAATGGGAACCCAGCAAACACCTCTCTAAACAATTGGGGTCTGGACAGGGAGGGAGGGATTACAATGAAAAGTTATAGCGGAAGAGAGAAATGCTCATTTAGGGCTTCCCTTTTTCTTCAGCATTCAGCAGAATTGACTCACTGGCTCACTAATGACAGGAAGGCTCGCTTTCTCTTACGATCTTGTGGGCAGGAAATGTTATTTGTCTATTTGGCAAAATTCCATTAGAGAAAATCACTGGGATGTCCCCCTGGATTTATTAAGGTAAGAAATTATTTCTGGAAGGAAAGAGAAAACGTGCTCTCTGCTCTATTTATTCAGCTTCTAAGAGTAAAGTTGACAGGGAAAAAGTGTCCCCCATGTCTTATATTGTAACCTTGCAACAGAATCAAAGTAACTGAAAGAGACCAAGCTAACTGTAATTTATTTACTTACAACCTCTTTTTTCTTTTTCAAAGTTATTTTTTAATCACTGATTTTACTTCCCTTTTCCTCTTACCCCTCCATAGGATTATTTTGAATATAAATTTAAGCAGGATTCAAATTCTATTAGCAGAATACCCAGATGTTTTCAGCAGGGAAGTACCAACTGATAAGGTGCTAGTACTACCATTGTTTCATAAGGAAAGGTCATGTGAAGAAAAATGCAACAGTCCTTTCATGCCCCCTATAGATGCCCTTACTACAGCTAACAGAAGGAAGACCAGGGGGGTAACCTTTGTTAAATCCCTACTCTGTGTTAGACACAACGCTAACTGCTCTACAGGCACTGTTACTTCATTTTCATAAAGACTCTGGGAGGTAGAGATTGTTGATTCCCTTTAACTGATGAAGATCCTGATGCCCTTATTATGATGATGCCCTTCATCATAAATCACCACACTCCTCTACCAGTGCTTCTCCATGCTGCACGTGACTACTGTCCCATGTGCTGACTACCTGACTGAGTGCCAAGGGTACTCTGTGATGGCAGAGAATGCTGGTGTCTTGATATAAAACTAGAGAATGAAATCAGATAATATAAAGACCAGAGTGGAAACCCTCCATAAAATGACAATGCAAGAGATATAATTGTTCCTCTTTTCTCCCCAGGTATGAGCAAGACCATCCAAACGTGTGGGCAACAAGTGGCGGCATCTGAGCCCAGGGACATCACCTGAATGAGTATGCTGTGGTATTGGGAGAATGTCCAGATCAGCGGTTCTCAACCTATGGGTGGCGACCCCTTTGGGGGTCGAACGACCCTTTCACAGCAGTCGCCTAAGTCCACCAGAAAACACATATATAATTACATATTGTTTTTGTGATTAATCACTATGTTTTAATTATGTTCAATTTGTAACAATGAAATTGGGGGTCACCACAAATGAGGAACTGTATTAAAGGGTCGCGGCATTAGGAAGGTTGAGAACCACTGGTCTAGATGAACACATAGATTTTGGCAATAATATATCAAACACACACACACACACACACACACACACAGGGCTGGAACTAGGGTCAAGCAAGAGAGGCGACTTGGGAAGGCACTCATTCTCACCTGAGCCTACATGTGCACAACCTTGAGAGGGAGTGCATCCTTAAATGTTGCATCCTCAGTGCCTGTCTTGCCTCACCCTTGTCTAGCCCTGCTATGTCATTTCATTTCTACCAACTCTTTATCCTCATGCTTGGAATCATGCCCTTACGGGTAACAAGCCAGGGCAGGGCATAAATGATAGTGAGAAGGGGACTGTGATCGAAGAAGTGGCTTTCTACCAAGAATTCTCTGTGCTCTTTAGAGTCAGCATTAGTGAAAAGAGAACAGAGTGAAAGGTGAGGCTTATTTTAAAAAGCAACGGGGAGACTGTTAAAGATGGAATGACGTTGGGAAATAAAAGCCAGCAAATGACTGAAGAATGCCAGGATAGAAAGTGAAGAGGATTTGGTGACTGATTAAATGTGGAATTGGATGCCACGTAGGGAAATGGAGCAGCCAGATTTCCTTGGGGTTGGAGGCGCTGACATCTTGAGGACAGTGGAACAACTGAAGATCAGTGTTAGATGGTTGGTACTGGGCTGTCTGTACTTGGGGGTGCTGTCCAGACATACAACATACCTGAGGGGAATTTTACTCCTTTATTGCAGGCAGCCTCTGGGGTTTCCACGTTTCCCCTGGGGATGTCCCCCATGTCTGACAACCACAGAGGCCCCTCCAGCTCAGGAAATTCTGATAAAGCTTTGGGGAAGGGGTATAAACGTAAACACTACCTAATGGATAAAGAAATAAACCAGTGATCCTTACCACCTTCCCCATTCTGTAGTTCCCATTGCTCACAACAATATTTTATCATTTGACTAGACAGCAATGGACACTCTTAAGTACATGACAGTTAATAATTTTTTCCTGGTAAGTGACGATTTCTAAAGCCTCCTGGTGAAGTGGGAGATAAAATATCTATCTCCAGGAGGTGGCTTTCTACCAAGAATTCTGTGCTCCCCAGAGGCAGCATTAGTGAAAAGAGAACAGAGTTAACGGTGAGGTTTATTTCAAAAAGAAACAGGGAGACCGTGAAAGATGGGATGGCGTTGAGAAATCAAAGCAAGCAAATGCCTGAAAAATACCAGTTTGTGGAGGTGGCTACTGACGCCCGGTGCCCTGAATGGAGTGAGCTTGCAGAGCACCACTGTGTCATTTTCTGATGGGAAACATTTATTGACAAAAGCCTATGGTTGCTGGTATGCTCTCCAATCTTCTCAGTGGGCAGCCCGAGAACAGGCGGCCGCCCATGACTCTCCCCTTCTGCCCAGGAAGCCCGCCCCTCCCCTCCGGCCTCCTGCTCCCGTCCCCCTCTCTCTCATCAGTAAGCAGAGCTGTGGAGCAGCTTGGCAAACCTGGTAGAGTAGAATGCAAAATGCTCCCTCCGTGGCACCAAGCCCCCAGCACCTGGAGCTGCTTTCCAGAAAGGAATGATGACACTGTGTCTTTGGATTTTTAAAAATTTCTTAATGTAATGAGCCTATTCCTTGGATCCCCTCCCTGTCTGTGAAAAATGGGCCATTTGGGACCCCTCTGGATGTTTTCTAAGGGAAGCTGTGGTGAAGCAACCTCAGCAGTTGCCTAATCTCTCTGCAGTCAACCACGCAGTCAACCTTTGCAATGACACCTGCTGGGGTAGCTTTTTTCAAATTTTATTCGTACGCAATTTGGACCTATACTGTTTAGTTTGAACCATTTCTTAAATGATAGGTTAAATTCTTGTGCTTTTCTATTTACTCCAAACTCCATAGTGGGCAAAGAAATAGGAACCTAGATTAGATGGAAAAGACCCCTGAGGTTATTTCCTGGAAATTGCCAAGCATTCCCTCCCTCTTCAACCCAGGACTCATTCTTATTTCTCAGAGGTCTACACCAGAGCCGGTCAGTGTTTCATCTGGGATATAACATAAAGATTTAAAACTTAAACTAGGACAGAGGATGCCCTAAATGTGTCAGGGTTAGAAAAGATTTCCCAAGAGAACCTTTAACAGGTGATCTTTTTTTAAGGTTCAAGGTTAATCAAAGAGAAGCCATACTTAGCTTATAATATTATATCACATTATATTATTAAAATTCAGACTATAAAATCAGAGATAAAAAGAAAGCAATGCCATCTTTAATTTCTAAAAACTACAAATAATGAAAATGGTCATTTGAGAATAATAAGGAAAAAAAGATTTTTTTGGGGGGAGGTCACATGAACCACTTGAAAATCTGATGCAAAATCTATATGCTCTCACTGGAAAATGCAGACACCCAATTCTGCACACAGTTCTGGGAGGTCAAGGGCACTCCTGAGGACAATGCTTGTCACCCAAAGATTCCACTAGCCTAGTAAGTCATATTTCCTTTTTCTTTTCCTTTCTAGTTATTGCCTATACAGAGACAAATGTTTTACACATTTTACATAATTGTAATCATAGGGTGGCTCTGCTTTATATTCCTTTTTTCTTCCACTTAGCACAATGTCATAAACATGTTCCCATGTTATTCCCAATCATCATAATTTTCATTTAAAATGGCCTTGCCATAGTCCACTTAAAGGAGGTACCTTGATTTACATAGCCATTATCTTACTGTTGGACATATAAGTTGCTTACAACTTGTTTCTGTGAAAATCTGCTTTACAATGAACATTTTCCTGCATCTGGAAAAGCAATGACTTTCAAAGGAAACATTTAATTCTTTTCCCATTTTCTTTCCAAATACCTTCTGGTGTCTGTCTCTTCTGAGCTGTCTATAATTTTGTATTTTGTGCATGAAATTCTAGTATCTAGTTTTATTTTTAGCTGCTGTGCCATGTGCCAAACATATTGAACTCAATCTCTCTCCCTGTAGCCTCTGTTTCACCTGCGCCCACCTCCTCCACGACTGTGAGGAGACAGTTGCCCTCAAGTTCTTATGACTCGAGGATTCACAGGAGGAACAAGGATTGTCCTCAAGGGCGCCCTTGACCTCCCAAAATAGTGTGCAAAACTGAGTGTGTGCATTTTCCAGTGAGACGATATAGATCTTGTATCAGATTCCTAAGTGGCCCAGGTGACCAAAAAAGAATAAGAATTGTTGACTAGGGCTGTTTTTTAGCATCATGTGTCTCCTTTTCTCCACTGGGCCTTGTCCTCTGCTACGGTCAGATTCTAGCCTGAAACCTCCCCTCTTTTAATCCTCAAGGTGCCATCCTCCTTTCCCACTCTTGCCTTCCCTTCACTGTCAACTGTGTTGAATGAATTGGTGTATCCTGCTGTGTTTACTCCCTTCCCTTCTGATTACACCCTAACTCCTAGGTCCCCCTTATCTCATTCTGCTGAAATTGCTCTTTCAAAGATGATGTGTACCTACTCATCACACAAGCCAGTCGTTGGTTTTTATTCTTTACAGATGTCTCTTTAGGTTATGGGATTAGCATCATTGATTTTGTAACCCCTTTCTCCCGATCATTTGAGTTAGTGCTTCCTCCTGGGCCTTTTCCTCTGGCATCTCTTTTCTTACTGCTGCCTTCTTTCCCTTGCTACCAAATGCAGGTCTTCTATAATTTTCGGTCATGAGCCCCTTTGCTTTCTGTAGTCTTCTTTTTGGCCATCTCATCCAGACCCATATCTGTGCAGCTTCCACCTCTCTCCTGAAACCTAGGTCATTTTATAAAGTGCCATGTCCATATATTGAGTTCAATATTTTTGGCACATGGAACATCAGCTAAAAATAAAAGGTACTTCGAACCTGTCCACAGACAGATTCATCATCTTGCCCAGCAGCTCCTCTGGAGTTCCCTATTTCCACGAGTAGGACCGCCATGCTTGGTCAGTCAGACACAGAATACTGGACTCATCATTCTCTGTTGCTTTCTCTCAGTATTGCTGGCCCTCTAATTTAGCCTCTCATTACCGGTCCCCAGGACTGTCGCAGTGGGCTGAAGCTCTTCTTGCTCCATCTTTCAAAGCCCCTTCTCCACTATCGGTGCCTTTCACCAAGCACTCCCAGATTTATTTCCCTGAAGCATGTGACTGATTGCTTGAATGTCCATCTCAAGAGTCTCTTGAATATTTCCGTATCCAGCAAATTACCTCAAAGCCCTTCAGGTTCTTACTCCAAACCACTTCCCCAACACGCCCTTAAATATAGCCTGCTCATTCATAGTAAGATTGCAGTATTATTAGAATATTGATGCATAAACATTTAAGTTCATAGGGGCGCTTTTTAAAGCAAAAACCTAGTATCATATTTATTCATCCGATTTCTTCTTTTCCCTACGCCTTTTCTCTTCTTGATGATTTTGGGTTCAATCCATTATTATTCAACAAAAGTATTTTGAGCACCTAATATACCTCAGCCGGGCACCCCCCAAAAAAAAGGTGAGGGTTGAACCAGAAACACCAGGCATCTGGGGAAGGTGCAAAGGCTTTCCCCTTGCCCCTGTTTGTAATGTGTGTTGGTGAGAGTCTTGATGGGAAACAAATGGCCCACTCAAAAGGGAGAGTTTAATGAAAAGACAATTCAAAGAGGTTAAGGGAGACTGACTAGAAAGAGTAGGGAGAAGCCGTTACTAGAACTTAGTAAGAGAACTACCTGCAAGACAGGGCACCAGACAGAAACTGTGACTTTCTGTAGAGGACATGGTCACTGCCAAACCACAGCCTGGCAGACAGAGAGCTGGGTGCCCCAACTTCTCTCCCCAGTCATTCTTTGATCTCTGGTTGGTTCTTCCCATTGGTCAGAGCCAACCAAAACCCATGAGCAGGAGAGCCTGGCTAGTGCATCCAAAGAGGAAGACCTCCTGAGGCACAGGGGAGAGGTGCAGAAGGGGCAAAAGTGGAGGGGACACCCGGAACTTTATTTCACTGCTGGCTCCTGAAGGTCTCCAGGGAGACAGAAAGTTCATCTCTGGGCTTTATAATTTCTGTGCCAATGAGAATTTCTGACTGCAACAAAACATCTCCCCCCCCTCCCCCTCCCCGCTCTTTCTCTGCTCTGCCTTCTTCTTATTTCTCATCCCTTGCCACTTTCTTTTTATGTTGCCAGATGGTTTCAACAAAATTACTGGACAGATAATAAATGCTTATAGACCAAATTAATAAGACATGCTAATTTTTATTAATAGTTTGCATTACAGATAATAAGTGTATCTTATATTAGCTTGTACTGCTTGAGCAATAAGACATTAATGAGAAAGCTGACTTAATTTTGGAAGAAAGTGACATTGAAGTGACTAGTATGTGCTCTTTAGTAGAAAGCTCAAACCAGAATGCCTAGCAACCTTCTTCTGAGGCCCCAGCGTGAACCCCTACAGGGGGAAGGGTTTTGTGGTGGACAATGTCGATGGCCTGTCCCCTTCTCAGCATTTATCTGTACATTCTCCTCTTTTCATTCCTTGCTCCAGACTTACTCCAGACCCAATAGGTCCATCAGTTGACATGGGAGGGTCTGAGAAGCTGGGACGGGGTGGGGGATGGTGGTGAGGATGAGACCCATTAAGGTGGTACCTCCCAGTTAGGGAGGGTCAGCAGAAATAAGAGGGGAGATCAAAGCTGAGAGGGCAATTCTTCTATGTCAGGAAGGCTATACTGGCCTCTATAAGTTAGGATATTTCCTGGGAACTCTGGGGGGTTAAACTTCTGGGTTTTATGGGGGCCAATTCTTTGCAGCACAACTCCAAGGGTAAAGCAAGGTCCCAAAGGTTGTACAAAGTGTTGTTCAAGAGCACGGGATCTATAGAATCTAAAACAAACCCGAGTCAATAGAGCTTTCCCTTGAAAACCTATAAATAGTTTCCTGAAATCTCTCCTTTGCCTATGATCTTGGGACACTATTTCCAGTGGCTCTCCTTTATGACATTGCTGGCTTTTCTACTGCATTTGTATACACTCAGAGTGACAACGAACCCACAGGACAGCTAGAGCTAGATGTGTGTGCCACAACCAACATGTTTGCTATCTTCTGTATGTGCCAGTGTGCATGTAGGAGGGCTGGGCGAGTGTGTCTTTAAAGAACCTTACACCCGAAAGAAGTGACCAAATTCTATAATTAACTGCTGTAACTATTCAGTGGTAAATGAACAATACCCCAAGTTTAGGCAGGACATAGTAGACCCACCTGAGTTTACAGCAGAGGACAAGTCTCAAGCTAGGAAGAGGCTGACTTATCAAAAGACCCCTTTATCATCCCCTTGGAACTTCCCCTTTCAGTGCTTTGAGGACCACTATCCCTGGTCACCGGAATACACTGGTCCTATCTACTCTCTTGGGCTCAAACCTGGACACAAAAGTTAAACCAATTTTTCTTGCCTTCCTCACATGAGAGAGGCAGTTTAGGGAGCTAAACAGGGCTGTGCTTCATGAGCTCACTTCTGTAATATGAGGAACAAACCCGGCACAGATTGCACTTCAATTGTTTACATCCATGTTGTTTTCCCATAGGTTTCAGCAGAGCTCTCTCTTGCCACCTGGGGAATCTCTTTCTGGAGGACACATCTGCCCAAACCTAGGAACAAGTTTTTCCAGAGCAGATGGACTCACAAGTTTGGCCTACCTGGGAACTCTACAAACACCCAGCCCACCCACCAAAATGCATATTTTGGAGTGTGTAAATCCCATGGGCTTATAGAGTTCATGTAAGAGATGATCCTCAATCCACCCACTGAATCTATACACTCCCTCTATCTGTCAACTTTAAGGCCTGGTTCTCCAGTCTTTTGGAATTCACCCTTTTATTGCCAGATGAACCATTTGGATGGCTTACTCCTGGCACTAACCATTGGACATAACATTGGTGTTTGTGTTCTGGCCACATGAAGACAACAAAGATGCCCGCCCTGGTTCACTGGGACTCACTAGCCCGGTTTACTTCCTTCCCATCCTTCTCACTAGGAGATGGGGTCTGGCACTGTGCCTACTACCTAATGCCTCGTGTAGTTACTGAAAGAATGGGAAGCATTAGGGTGGTTCCCCAAACCACCGGTGGTGGAGCAACAGGAATTTCCTGACACGATGCTGAAAACCATAGTCATTGGAAAAAAACATAAGTATGAGCTTATTTTTAAAACACAGGACCGCACCATATTTCAGCAATGAGACTTGAACAAAGCTGACCTAGTGCTTTAATAGACTTCTGTCTCCTCGTGCCCCAAACCCAGCTCCCTGAATAAGAATGAGCAAGGAAACAACTTACTGTAAACTGGATTTGGCAGCCACCCATGATGTAGTCCAAGAAAGAATGCATCTTGTGGATCTGCATAGGAGGAGGAAAGGAAACCCTCTTAGTAATAGTAGCATGATCTGTGTCCTCACAGACCTGAGGCATAAACCTTGGGGTTAGGCTGCTCAACTAGAGGAAAGAGAAGAGAGAGTTATCTGTGGGAAGAGGTGAGTCATTTGACTTGGTTTCATTAAGAAAGAGAGAGAGAAAAGAAAAAAGAGAGGAAGAGAAAGCAATGCTAAATTCAGATAAGCCTGTGAGGGCTGAAAATAGCCATCCCTTGCTCCCCTCCCTTATGGTTTAGGCGTGATTTTAATCAGCCTCTGTCTCTAGGAATTAGCTAACTCTAGGAGGGGCAATCCTTCCCAGGGTCTACAAGGCCCCCAGATGTCAAAGCATCATAAAATAAAAAAATAAAATACATGACTAAAACAATGACTAGTGAATGACCTCATTTGAAAGTGGAAATCTCAGTATTGTGATAAGAGTAAATAGGATTTATTAGAGTTACTGTTGTATAGTAGGTACTCAACCAGTAGCAGAATTATTCTTAGATGCAATTTAAGGGGTTTACTTATTAGCACATAGAATGTTCTGTGAAGTTAGAAACGCTCTGAGAGGAACTTCTAGGTCCTTCAATCTTTTCCCATTGTCTTGTTTTCCTGGAACTCTTTCAGCATGAATGAGGTACCACATATACTAGTAAACCACTGAACACTGTGATAGACACATGGTAGGTACTTTGGAAAGGTTGGTTGCCTCCTTTGGGGAGCTCCCTCTGGTGCTGCCCTGGGCAGAGAAGGGCCTTGACTTGGACCAAGACTCCCCTAACTTTGGGGACAGGACTATCCTTGTGGAGGGAATGGTGGCATTGGGCTTCCATAGCTCCAAGACCACCTATGCATACATTTCTCATTGTATGTCCATTAATACATTGATTTTCTGATTTTTACTTTAAAAAAGATCACATCTCCTTGACACTCTCTCCCTCTGACTACACAACCTGTACTGTTTTTTCCAGACACCTTAGCTTTATACTCCTGAAAGACAAGCTATATACATACCTTGCATTGATTCAAAATCACAATGCCTGAGTTCTTATAATTCTTCTTCTTGGCTTTGTACTTGGGGTTGATGCACTCCCACTGCACCTGCAACAACAAGAGTCACAGCATGATTGCCTGCTCAGGAAGAAGTGGAATCCTTTGATGAGGTCAAGCCCCCAAGTGCTGCTGCAGATGAAACTGAGGCCTGACAAGTGGTCTCCAAGTGATAACCCTCGCATCTAGAGGAAACATAAGAAGAGTGGTTGAGAGTAAGACTCTAATATCAGACTGCCTGATTTGCATCCCAACTCCTCCACTTTCCAGCTGTGTGACCTTTGGCAAATTACAGCTGACCCTTAAACAATGTGAAGGCTGTTAGAAAATCAGTGTATAACTTGGGACTCCCCCAAAACTTGACTACCCTTGGCATCCACAGGGGATTGGTTGCAGGACTCCCGCAATAACAAAATCCGTGGATGCTCAGGTTCCCTCTATAAAATGGTGTAAATCAATGCATACAGCCAGCCCTCCACATCCATGGACTCCCAACCAGGGACTGAAAACAGTACAGAAAAAGATTCACATATAAGTGGACTCGTGCAATTCAAACCCTTGTTGCTCAAGGGTCAACTGTACTTGATTCCTCTATGCCTTGGATAGCTCCACTGTAAAATGTAGCTTATAATTGTATCGATTTGATAGGCTCATTGTGCGAATTGAATAATTAATCTATGTAATATAGTATTTCGGACAGTGCCTGATAGTTATAAATGCTTACTATTAATAGGGTCCAATCAAGCATCTGAGTAAAGAAGAGATCTGAACACACACAGTTGAGTAACCCAAGTGCTGAGTCTTAGTGCCTGGGAAATGACTTAAAGGGTAGAAAAACTGAGGAATGTTGAAAACCGGCTACAGGAAGTTAGTGGGGATAATAATGAGTTTACAGAGAACTTCACTGAGAACTAAAATAATAGATTGATACATGTCACAACAGTGGCACACTAGATCTCCAAAGAGAGATCTTTGAAGGACAGGATCAGAGCTGCAGGAATGTCTGGGGACTGAGGAGCTATGGGGATATCTAGGGGGAACAGATCTCATGGACAAAGTCAATTGCAAGTCAAACACCCAAGGGTCATTGAATGATCCTGCTCATCATTGTATGGGAGCTGGATCCTTGGATTTCCATGCAGGAGACAATTTTCACTCTCTGACAAGTGTCTGAAAATGAAGCGATCTCTGAGGCAGTTGTGAGTAGGGTAGAGTGATACAGCTTTGGTCCATCAATCCACTCCTTTCAGTGTACATGCATTTGTGTAGTTTCTTCCCACAATGATGCTGAGCTTAGTCAGGTGACTTGTTTGACCAATGGGACATTAGCAAAAGTGATAGGAGCAGAGGATTAAAAAGTGCCTGTACAATGGGGCTTGGTGTTGAGAAGTTTTCCCCACCACATAAAAAGCTTAGGTTGGTCTCTTGGTCAATTAAAACGTGGAAAAATTCCAGCTGCTGGGGCCAAATGCGTAAGTGAATTCAGTTGGCATCATGTGTAGCAGAGAGGAGCTATTCCAACTGAACTCAGCCTAAATTGCCCATCCAGAGACTCATTAGTAAATAATGATTGTGTGTGTTTTTTCAGCCAGTTTGGGTATAATTTGTTTCTCAGATACAGATAACTGATATGGTAATTTCTCACCTTTGGGGAAGTTCCAGTTGAGAATGGGCAACCACATAAGTGTTTGGAAGAGAGAAATGTTGTACTGGTTAAGAGGACTCTAAAACTCCTTCTTTTAAGGAAAAGAAGAATAATGCGAGGAAAGGAGTAAAGAATCAAAACTGACTCAAATTAGGAGATTTCCAGCCCTACTTTTTATTTTTTAAAATATATTTTTATTGATTTCAGAGAGAAGAAAGGTGAGGGAAAGAGAGATAGAAACATCAATGATGGGAGAGAATAATCAATCAGCCACCTCCCATATGCCCCTCACCGGGGATCGAGCCCACAACCCGGGCATGTGCGCAGACCAAGAAATAAACCATGACTTCCTGGTTTATGGGTTGACGCTCAACCTCTGGGCCACACTGGCCGGGTGAAGATAACATTTAGAAGAAAATCCCAAACTCCTTTTTTTCTGAGCTATCAGAATCTACTTTTCCTGGCCTCTGCCTCTCTCTTTAACCACATCTCATGCATGGATCCCTCACCCTCTCTGCTCCAGGCACACTGGGCTCTTTCCAGATCCTTAACCACACCACACTCTTTCCTAACTCAATACTTGCATGCTATTCCCTCTGCCTGAGATGTTTCTCCTTTTCTCCTTACTTGCTACATGGTTGACTTCTTTTCATCTTTAAAGGCCCTCAACTTAAATGTCACCTTTTCAGATTATCTCCTTCTATGCCCCACCTTTATAAGTAAACTGGTTCAGGTTTTTTATATCATTTGTCATAAGTTATAACAGCATATTTATTGTTTTATTTACTTGATTTGTGTCTCCAGTTTATTCTGACGCACAGTCATGTCACACCCAGAGCCCGGCATAGTGCTGGCACATAGTGGGCGCTCCTCAATAACTCTTAGTAGAATCAAATAAGGAAACAGTTCCCACAATGCAAATGTGTCAAAACAGGGGCCGAGTGGTTGAACTAAAATCTTCCTGGTGTCTCAGTGATAGAAAAATACAGTAGCGTACGGTCCACTTCCTCAGTGAGACAAATATTTATTTCTGTTTCTTTGAATGCATTGGACTTTGGTGTTATTCAGTTGTGACATATGCTAGAATTTTACTTTTTTTTAAAAAATATATATTTTATTGATTTTTTACAGAGAGGAAGGGAGAGGGATAGAGAGTTAGAAACATCGATGAGAGAGAAATATCAATCAGCTGCCTCCTGCACACCTCCTACTGGGGATGTGCCCGCAACCAAGGTATATGCCCTTGACCGGAATCGAACCTGGGACCCTTGAGTCCATAGGCTGACACTCTATCCACTGAGCCAAACAAGTTACGGCGAATTTTACTTTTAATACCCTCTAAGGAGCCTCAAGATAAAATGGTTCTCTTATTTATTTATTTATTTATTTATTTAATATATTTTTATTGATTTCAAAGAGGACGGGAGAGGGAGAGAGAGATAGAAACATCAATGATAAGAATCATTGATCGGTTGCCTCTGCCTCGCCCCTTACTGGGAAGAAGCCCACAACCCAGGCATGTGCCCTTGACCAGAATCGGACCCATGACCCTCTATCCACTGAGCCAAACCAGCTAGGGCAAGTTCTCATATTTATTAATTTGGATATTTTTATTTGTAGAGAACAAGGCAAAACTTTGTAAAGGTCTTTAGAGATCTAGCTGGCAATATCAATAACTGTCATTGAATTATTAGCTTAATAGGGCTTGGTCCAGTACATTCAATGAAGCAACTTCTCTGGATATATTTCTTTTTATCCTGGGGGTGACTTTACTAATAATTTAGTGTTGGTTTTCATGTGGCCCCGAAACTCTCCACGCCTGCTTGTATATGAAGGTCTGTGTGTTTGACAAGTGTCTTGCAATGCCTAGTACATGATAAAGCATATAAAGCAGGTTTTATTGCAACTACACAGAAGCTGCCCTTGAATTTCCAGACCAAAAGTATGTATTCAACAAATGGTCTGATTCAGGTTAAGCTTCTAATTCTAAAGAATGTTAGTGTCTTTCCATCTAGTCTGGTTACAACTTGACCTTACAGCTATAAGAAGAGACTTGAGCCCTAGCCAGTTTGGCTCAGTGGATAGAGCATCCGCCTGCGGACTGAAGGGTCCCAGGTTCAATTCTGGTCAAGGGCACATATGGGCTCAATCCCTAGTAGGGGATGTACAGGAGGCAGCCAATCAATGATTCTTGCTCATCATTGATGTTTCTACCTCTCTCTCCCTTCCTCTCTGAAACCAATAAAATATATTTTAAAAAAAATAAGAGACTTGAATAATGACTTGGGGCATCGTCTCTATACTTCTGACCACACCAGGGGCAAGGTCCTACCTCTAAGGGAAAAGACCTTTTCAAAGCCGTTGCTGTCACTCCTTTTTACTCCTGGGGGACAATGGGCTTCAGAGTAAGAATGGCAGGTATTTTGAATCAAAACCCAAAGCAAGGTGTAAGTGCAAGTACCTCATCTGGGAGGTAATATCAGAAAGCACCAACAGAGTGGGAAACTGAGGGAGGGGAAGCACTCAAAAAAGGGTTCATTATCAAGTCAGTTACCACTGGGGCAACCAGGGCTTATTCCTGCCGGGAAACTGCATAGAACACACCTGAGTTTTGCCACCTTTACACTTCAACTCCCAGGAATCATTTGTTGAGGGTTGCTCCCTGGTTAGAGTTACATCTCCCCCCACACTTTGCAGCCCACTGTGGGAACAGGCAGACCAGGCTCCAGCAGCCAGAGAAAGCCCTCAGGCAGAGAGATGTAGGTTCTGCAGCTGGAAGTTGGGCAGGTGAACACGAAACAGGTAAGAGCAGAAGTTACGCATAGGCCAGAATCCAGATAACAGCAACTGACTGATAAAGTGACATATATGTGTGCAATACAGCACAGTACATGCATCCGAGAGAAACACAGAGGAGGTTTAGGATTCTGTGTGACACAATGAAACCCCTGTTTGCCTCTGTGGTACGTGATACTGTTGGGTATATGTCTTGGCACCCAAAGAGTAATATGGTGGACCTATATGAAGATCTGTTACCCATAATAAAAATTTGGAGGAATCAAATAATCTCTCCAAATGTACAACTGGAAAGAAAGTCAGTACTGCTTGGAAAGTTCTAGCTATGTGCAAGGCAGTCCGGTAAATGCATATCGTGGATTATTTTATTTAATCTTCACAAAATTCTATGAAATTGAGACGGTTACTACATCCAGTTTTTTAGGTGAGAAAGATGAGGCACAGAGAGATTAAGTCACTTGTCCAAGGCTACTTAGCTCAAGGAAATTAGAAATATTCTCATCTAACCTCTTCATTTTACTGATGCAGAAACTGCACCACACTGGGGTGGTGTCTTGTCCAGGTCACACCAATTGCCTTGGGTTGGGCTAGTACTTGAAACTAGGTACTGAAATCCCACCATAGTCCTGCTCATCCCATTTAATCATATATTGACGTCTGACCTCCAGCTGTTCATGCGTAGCTGGGTGCATCAGGAGAGAAGTGTCTGGAAAAAGGCCACGAATGGTTTACCACGTACCTGCTTCCCTTCCATTGCTCCTTTCATCTCCTTGAATGTCGAGGTGAATTCTCCAATGAAGTCATGTTTGCCGTTGGAGTCCCAGTCCCATACTATGCACTACAAGAGAAGAGAAGTTATTATCACTATTTTAAATTAAGATGCATCCAGAGTATCTGAAGACAGTGCAGACTTTACAAAAAAGAGCCGATGAAACACGCTTGGTCTGGAACAAAAGCACAGCAGTCTAGGACTGCCGCATGTGGGATGTAAGATTCCTTTAGTTTCTATAGTGATGCAGTAGTGACTAATAATTTGCATAATTGTCAGGTAAGGCCAGTAAGACCAAAAGGGAGATAAGTGACTTGCCGAAGGGACCATCTAGAGAATGAAACCTGGAATTAAAAAAAATATATATTTTTTTATTGATTTCAGAGAGGAAGGGAGAGGGATAGAGAGTTAGAAACATCAATGATGAGAGTCATTGATCAGCTGCCTCCTGCACACCCCCTACTGGGGATGTACCCACAACCAAGGTACATGCCCTTGACTGGAATCGAACCTGGGACCCTTCAGTCCGCAGGCTGACACTCTATCCACTGAGCCAAACCAGTTAGGGCATAGCCAGCTAATTTTTAAGTTGCTGATTTTGTATGGCCTGCGAATGATGTTATAAATATCCAAATGGCCCTTGGCAGATAAAAGGTCCCCATTCCTGCTAGCAGATGGCCTCCCTGGTGTACACCTAGAATCTGTGTCTATAGTTTCTACCATGTCAGCTTATGTTTAACGATATGAATGGGGTCATGTTAATCACACTATCTTTTTCTATTTTTTTCTGAAGGCAAAAGAGCAATGTTAAGAAAAATGAGTAAGAAGGCAAAATGTGAGATCTTTAACTGTATCCACATTTGAAATGGGTGGAACATGGTGACAGGTAAGTCACACTGCTAAATATCAGGCATCCATCACACTTAAGATGTTTACTTCTAACAAGAGGGCTCCTGCTAACAATGTTAAAGCTAAATTTGGGGCTCCCAGGCTGTTGGGAGTGGCTCCCGTGTAGAGTGGCTCAGATGAGATCAGCAGCCATCCCTCTGCTTGGCCACATACACTTAGAAGAGGAAGTTCCCCATTTTTTCTTTTTCTTTTCTTTTTTTGTTTTGTTTGTTAATCCTTTCCTAAGGATACTTTTCCATTGATTTTTCAGAGAGTGGAAGGGAGAGGGAGAGACAGAGAGAGAAACATCGATGTGAGAGAGACACATTGATTGGTTGCCTCCTGCACGCACCCTGACCAGGGCTGGGGATTGAGCCTGCAACTGGGGTACGTGCTCTTGACCGGAATTAAACCCGGGACCCTTCAGTCCATGGGCCAACACTCTATCCACTGAGCCAAACCAGTGAGGGCCCCATTTTTTTCCAGGGTGGAGGCTGGACTAGGGTCTCAAGTACTTTAGATAATGCTTTTACATTGTAAACCAGTGATTTGCATCAAGGAAGTCCCAGACCTCAAATAAGATCAAGGCAGCAAAGGATGTTTTCCTTAGAATACTGAGATTGTAAGAGGCAGCCTGGTCCTCCCTCAGAACGTACATCCCATTGGCCAGTCCTGCCTGGAAAACTCAAGCTATAAATCTTTTTTCTGATCCCGTGGGATGCCCCACAAACCTAAAATAAAAGAGGTCCAAAAGGAGACATAATTTCCCCCTAAATTTATTCCTGCTCATTTATTTTCTATCACAGTAAACTGTACCAACACCCGTCCTGTTGCTACAAAGAGAAAACTGGGTATCATTCCTGACAGTCCTCTCTCCCCTCACACTCCCACACTGACTCCTGTGTGTTCTGTCTTCTAAATAAGGCCTAACTCCAGCTCTTCTCTCCATTCGCACTGCCCCTCCTCACCTGCATCACTGTAACAGCCCCCCCCTGGTCTCCGTGCCTCCCTCATGCTCCCTCTCCACCCCTAGTCCAATACTCACGCTCATTGCCTGCTTAAACCAAAATGTATATAGGTAATGGATTTTCCAAGGCCTTCCATGATCTTACTCCCTAAATATTCCAAAATTCGCCCTTTATAATTCATGCTACTGTATTGTAAGGTTCTCTAATTTGAGGTTGGTTGGAATTAAAAGCATTTGCTAAGACTTTTTTTTGAGGCATCTTAAAGAAAAACTAATTTCTCAGCTTTTGCTCTCTCTTTAGCTGTGGAGGCTTTGGTAGATTATTTTGCTCACAAACTGTATTAATAAGCCCTTTAGTTTTGAAACAGAATGGATTAAAATAACTCAGAATGGAAGAGGCTAAGACAAAAGGGGCTAAACTGCTCTGCTGAGTAAAGCAATGGTGAAGTTGAGCTTTCCCTTCATAAGGAGAGACAGAGTGGGGCTCAGGGAGGGGGCTCAGGGGAGTAGGTTGGGAAGAACCTAGGGCAGGATTCATCAGAGGCTGAAGATGGGCCTACCATTGGACAGGAGGGTGGTCATGAGAGGCCGGTAAGGAACTCTTGAAACTGCCAATTCTCAAGGTCCAGTTTTTACATATCCCTCCGTGACCCTTTCTACTTCCCCTCTGCCATTATCCCCGACACTCCCAGAGTGACCTGGAGAATAAAGGAGAGGGGCTGTGTCCATGTTTGGGGACAAGCACCCCAGGGAGCAGTTTGAGATAGCCCACGTGATGATTGAGAACTGAGTGGAGAGCAGGACTGTGGAGAAAGAGCTTGAGAGATGAGAACTAGGAGTAGAACTCCCCAGACATACTGGGGAGGGTGGTCGACTTCTACAGTCACATGGCATTAGAATTCATGTGACCTTAAACAAGGTATCTTATTTAGATTTTAAAAGAAATTTTGACCCCAGAAAGTTGGAGAATAACAATATTCAATTAAAAATCATTACTTAGCCCTGGCTGGGTGGCTCAGTTGGTTGGAGCATCGTCCTGTACACCAAAGACTGCAGATTTGATTCCCGGTCAGAACACATACCTAGGTTGTGGGTTCCATCCCCTTTCCAGGTGCATTAGGAAGACAACCAATTGAGGTTTCTCTCTCTCTCTCTCTCATTCTCTTCCTCTGTCAACATATCTTCAGGTGAGGATTAAAAAAAAATAATTACTTAATTGACACTAACTCTTTGGTCATTCAATGTTCACTCCACTGGTAGATGCTAAAAGCAAGCTATCAGTAGTAGCTTTTCTGTCAAGTAGTGAGGGCAATACAGAGTCCCCAGGTGACCCATGAAGGACATATGTGTGTACAAGTCACAAACTCCTGTTGTTACCAGCCACTGAGATTACTATAAGCATAACCTAGTGAAGGAAACATTTAAGTACTTAAAACACTGTCATATGAAAAGGTATTTCAATTTTTGACTCCAAAGGGGGGTGGGCATTTTCAAGAGGAATTCATAAAGAAGTAACAAAGAAAGCATTTACCAGTATTTATACCTGTCTAAAAACAAAATAATCTGTGAAAGACTGAATGTTTCATTTCTGGAAAGTTCAAATAGAAACTGCAGGACTACACGTAGTAGTTAAATGTAGTAGAGAAAGTTGAAAAGAGAATGTTACAGGGGACTCAGTGAGATGTTCATTGAACTCACTTATAAGATGAATTATAGTTGCATAGGTTGCAAAATAAAGTCAATGAAAGGCTTAGCTCCTTCTGGCTGAGATGTCAGACCATGCACGGTAGATTTGGTAGGAGAGACGAGAATGTCCTACCTCATTTATTCTAATGGACAGTGGAAGCAATCAATGATCCAGTCATTTGGAAAAATTGCTCAGGATGTGCATGTGAACCTCACATAGTCAAACACTGTCTATTGATCTGCAGTACTTATAACCAGGTGCTTTTCTCTGTTTGCTAGTCCCTCCCTGCTAACCCTGACACATATTTATTACCCGGAGCAAGAAACAAGAAAACTTGCTGGGCCTGGACATAGAAAAGAGGTGCGCTCTTCCCTAGGGGAGCACCCCCCTGCCTGTCAGCTTCCCCTCCCCTCCCCCCCACAGGCACTTATCTCCTAACCTCTAAGGGACCCCAGGAGACTTGCAACCAGGGGAGCAATGGGCAGCAGCAGGTCGTCCTGGGCTAACCCCTGAACCTGTCTCCAAGGCCCCCTTTTCTCTGACTTCCCAGTGAGCCAAAGCAGCCCAGCCTGGGGCTCTCCTTTTGCTTCTTCTATGCCCTTCCTAGTTTCCCATTCCTAAGTGTGTTTTTGCTGCAGGCAATAAATGCTTGCTTGCTTTGCAAAAAAAGAAAAAAGAAGAAAAGAAGGGTGGTTCCTGGGACTCTACTTTAAGGCTCACAGCTTTGCCTCGTAGTAAATACAGCCATGGAATGTCTGACAGTCACATCCTCACCCCTCTACCTTTGGGAAGGAGCAAATAAGAAGGTGAAGGGGACAGAAGCAAATAAATAAAAGGATGTGGATTGAGCAGTACAGATTGTTGGTTACAGAACAGCCACAGAGATGTAAAGTACAGCATAGGAAATATAGTCAATACTATTGTAATAACTATGTATGGGGCCAGGTGGGTACGTGAAATATTGGGGGGAACAGTCTATAAAGTACATGGTTGTCTACCATTCTGTGGTACACCTGGAACTAATACAGGATAATGTTGAATGTAAAGTGTAATTAAAAAATAAATAAAAGAAGGGAAGTGGAAGCAGCCTTCTTAACACGCCCCTGCATTGGGAAAGAGGATAGAAGTTTCCTCCTTTAAGCGAAGGGGTGTAACTCTTCCTGCCCCACTAGCCACAGCAGAATAGTGAAAAAGCAAGAGGGGATGGACACATACTCTGGTTTGTCACAAAATCTTAAGTGAAACCACTTCCTCCGTTTCTTTGCCCTTTCTTAGGTTTCCCATCATGCTTTAGTTACTGCTCCTCCTTCCATCTGCCAAGCACTGCAGTCAAGGTGTCTATAATGAGCTCTCTGGGGCAGAGGGAGTGACTCCCGAGCTGGAGGAAGAGCCAGGCTTGACAGCATCCGGTCCTGGCCTCCCAGGGGCAGGCACCGCCCCTGACATGGGCCTGCTCCTTCCATCGGCTGGCATTTCACACCGTGGCAGTGGCAGAATTCTGTTTTGACCTTTCTCAGAAGGGATCCC